GATGCACATTAAATTGACCAAAAGTGTTTATAATCATTTAAGAAGCATTTGTACACTGCCTAATCGGTTAGGAACTTAATCCAAATAATTAGAGTAAGAAAAAACTTATTAGTCAATTACTACTCATAATCGATTACGATACATAACCATTGTAAGGTTTCCGTTTTGGAATCAAGGCTACCATATTTTTTATTCTTATAATCAATTAAGCATAAACCTTAATAGATAAGATATTAAAAGGCCCATGAATCTTTTTTTAAAGCTAAATTTATCTTCTATAAGTAGAGAATTTTTCCTCATTTCAAAATACACAAAAAAAAAATTGTATTTCAATAATCCTTCCTCACTTTGTACTCTCTCTATTTTATTTTTTCATTTTCATCACAAAATTGTCTAAATGCTTTGAGAATGAAAAACATAAGAGATTTTTATTGTTTTAGTACTATGATTATTTTATAATTTATGGGGTTTATCTCTTATAATATCTTTGATAGAAGTTGGTGTTTGGTTCTTGATTGCATAAATGTGTCATTAATATAAATACATAAAAATATATAAGAGAAAAATATGTGGCAATTATAAATTGATTAAAAATATTTTTACATGAAATTTAAAAAATATTATTTTATTAGTTTTTTAGTAAATGAAAAGTCATACAATTCCAATAATTCTATTTTATTTATTCAAGAAATTATATTATAATTTTATTTCTATAAATTAATCATAGTATTTAACAAATATTTTTTCACGCGCATCATCACGAGTATTTTATTATTTTGGTAATATAAGACTTTTTATATTTAAAGTATTTAAGTTAAACTCTTTAGTACTATTATGGTAAAATATTTAAAAAAATTAAGAGCGGATCCAAAAAAATTTAATGTTTAAGATTGTATTAAAAATAATTTAAAATAAAGAGTTCAATGATTTTCTAAAAATGAAAAGAAAAAAAAATCTTTTCTTGTAGAAAAAGAAAAAAGGTAAGGCGTGTGCTCCCCGTGGAGTTGAATTGAAAACGAAGGTGGGGTACAATACACTGAACCATAAACCATTTTTATTTTAATTGCAATCCTCTCGTCACGTTCTTTCTGAACCAAGAAAAAGATACAGTTTCTTTCTCTCTTCTTCTTCTGCTATCTAGGTTTTGCTTTCTCCGATTCCGATTCCGATTCCCAAACTTCCAATGCTTTTCTGAACTACTCAGATTTATTCGCATTGGATTGTTTTCAATGGAAGAGTCTTCGTACACTGGTCTCCCTACTAGCCACTTGCTCGGTTCAGTTCCCGTAAGCATTTTTCTTTCTTTTTTTCCGTTTCTTTAATTACTTTAGTTTGTTCATTGCATGTTCAATTATGTAGTTTGTATAATCGATCTTGTGTTAGTAATTGAGTTTTGAAATTTTTCCGATGAAAAATTGAATGAAATGGTGGAAATGGTAAAGGAAGTTGTATTTGTAGAATTGAAAGATAAGTGAACTCGTTTCTCAATTAAGTAGTACTAGACCTTGATTTTCGAATTTTCGAAGTTAAATGTGGTTTTGATTTTGATTAATCTTTGGACATTTAATTGATCTAGGTTATTTATGAAACTGAATTGATCTATAATTAATTTGTATAATTAAATTAGATTGTTCTGAGTTACTAGTGAAACACGGACACCACCGGAAACACGTTATCGACACTAAATGTCACCACCAGTAATAATTTGGAAAAATGAATAAATTAACGTATCGCAAGTGTCGGTTTCGGACAAAGACACTTACACGGCCACACTTTTTTTTTCCAGAGGTGTAAGTGCTACAACTTACTACAATGGTTTTTTCTTATTAATGATGAGTTATGAGTTACTTTTGGGTATGTTTGGATTGACTTATTTAATTTTATCTATTAGCATAAGCATTTGTAAGACTCTTTGAAATGATTTATGAAAATAACTCATGATAGTTTATTTTCATAAACTCTTCATTATGGCTTATGAGAACGACTTCTAGCTATATGAAAATATTTTGACTGTTGGGTTTTCCAAACATGACCTAAATATATATATTCCATATTGTTTAAGTGCTGTTGCTTTTGTGTGTTTTCTGTTTTGTTTCAGGCTGTCATAGTTGAAGAAGATAATGCCACGAAACATGTGGGTATGAAATTATAGCATTGAATTTTTATTTCTTTACAATGAATGTCTAGTATTTCTTACTTTGGTGGGTTTTCAGTTCTCTTGAAACATACTGCTTACAAACATAAATATTGATGGCTTTTCAGTTACCAATGGAGGAGACAGAGGACGAGAAGGACATCAAACTCCTGGCATTCCTACTGGTATGTTATCAATGTCATTATTTCCCTGGCTATTTCCTGATGAAAGCTACTGAATTGTATATACTTCGTTACTTTGTAATGAACTGATTGATCACTGGTACAGAGAAGATTTGTCCTTTGTTAAGTTGTGGGTAATCTTAGAAATGGTTGACTTAATTATAGACATCAAACAGATACTGTTTTTCTTCACATGAAATTGATGACAAATTTTCATGTGCTGCATCATCTGAATTTGTTTCCATTTTCATTTCAGTTTTTACTGGTTTGAAATCGGAGAATTAAAAAACCAATTATGATGTGATCTCTTTAATTTGTTTCTCTTGTAACCCAAAATATGTTATACTATCTGTTTTCATACTTCCAAGTATGCTTTCTTAACTCTCTTCATTTTTTATCTTGTTCTTTTGGATTTTGGAGCCAGTTTGAAGTAGAACCACTTTATTATGGCTGTATTAGTATGTTCCATTGTATAATTTATTTACTTCATCTCTCAAACATAATATTCTACCAAGCCAATTTATATTGACTTTTTTCCTTATACTTAAAGAGGAACACTTTAGGCAGTCTCTTAATCAAATAAACTTTAATTTTCTGTTTACACTTGCACTGAAGATGCCTCTTATCAATAAAAAGGATTATTGCTGATAAGTTGGCTAATATATTTATTAATTTCAGTTATTGTTTATATATTTTTTCTTATTTTCTTATTTATTTTCCAATATGGCATATTAGATGCTTCTGAATAAAAAAAACTAACATTTACATGTTTGAGATATTTTATACAATTTTATCATATATTGTATGCACTTTAGTTTCATTTTTGAAACCAAGGAAGTATGCAACTGAGTCGTATTTTCCAGGCTTCTATATACCTGCAACATAATCTGTTATTTAATTTTTTGTTTTATTGTAATTATGTTTACATACTTTGTGAATGACATCGACACGCTAGTCGCTTTATTCCCTTAGTAATTGCATATCTCAAGTGTCAAGGTTCTAGCAGTTCATCCAATTGTTTTGTTTTTATTGTTTTTTTAATGATTTTGAGTGTAGTTTCATTTCTGACCATGATCCACACCCCTGTTGATTTGAATCTGTGAGCGGACCTGAAAATAGCTGCCATTTGTATTTTCATTGTCATTTGATGATATAATAACAACATCATTCATTAATTTTTGGCGTGTTCATTCATGCAGAAGCCTTTGAACAACAGCCAACAAACAACTGGAGGGGATTCTTTAGTGTATCTTCTTATTCACAGTATTTCAATGTAGATACAGATGCTGTTATGACCAGATTGATAAGTTCCTTGAATCCAGTTGGTGGAGACTTCTTCAGCAAGATAGATGCCAACCCTGATTTGTGCGTTCTGTTTCTTTTACTCTTGATGCTTCTATACTTTCTATATTCAAAATAGAGTTACAAATTTTAATGTGGGAGTTTTTTTAAGGAATATCTTGTAATTTTTCTTCCAAAATGCATAGATTGTGCATGTTAATCACTATTAAATACTAATAATGTGATTCTTTTATGGTGTTATAGATATGGGCTTATATGGATCTCAACGACATTGATTTTTGTACTTGCCTCACTTGGAAATCTTGCCACATTCCTTATGCAAAAACATGCAGATGGCGGAACCTCATGGAGCTTTGATGTTAGCTATATGAATGTGGCTGCATGGTCTATCTATGGTTATGCAATAGTGGTCCCCGTGGCATACTACTTCTTCCTTCAGTATATGGGTTCAAATGCTAGCCTTATAAGGTTTTGGTGCATGTGGGGATATTCTCTTTCCATTTTCATCATCTCTTCGGTAAGTTTCTGCTCTCCAATGTGGGAAATTGTTAATTGCTTTTACTGTAAAATAATATAGCACAACTCTATTTTAGACCCTTTAAATATGGGAAAATTGACCGAGACACGGCACAACAAAGTGAGGAACTCCTTAATCTTTGGTTAAAAGACCTTTTGGCCTAAACTCAAATCCTTGATCGGCAAGTAACCATTTAAAACAAAGTTTTCAGGCGATTATAAGATTAGAAAGCAAAAGGGTGATCAATGTCTTTTATAATAATAATGATATATATCGTATTATTTGATGAGTATGATAGTAACCCAATGCAAGAGAAACTTGTGTTGTTCCAGATCAATGCTGAGGCACCCAATGACAGAAATCTCAAAAACTGCCTCCGCTCTACTCCCACGGTCTCCTTCCTATCAGCCTCCCTCTTAGAAAACTGCCCGCATCAAATAATAGATCTTTGTTCTTAATCCCCGTTGTTGGGGCTTAGGCTTAATATCCTATATACTGACTTCTTTTTGATATATTTTGTTTTATGATAAAAAATGATGTATTTTAGAAGTTCATACTGAATTTATATTAGTTGTGATAAGAAATTGCATCATTTGCTAGCTAATTATGCTTTAACTTTGTGTAATATTTTTGAGATGCCATCTAATTTATATTTTACTTGGGATACTTTCAGTTTTTGTTGATAATTCCAGTTGAGATTCTTCGGTGGATCATAACGCTCCTTACCGGTGTTGCGTCAGCTAGCTTTGTTGCCTTAAACCTGAGATCTTACATTGAAGGCAATGATTTTTCAGTGGCGATTATTGCTGCTTTTTTCTTGCAAATAGGTCTGGCAGTCTTCATCAAGGTTTGGTTCTTTGCATAGAAAGATGCATTGTAATAGTGAATAATAAGTCCCTACTATACCATTGTTAGCCCGCTCCATCGGCTACGAGACTGTAGTCTCTGCAGCAGATTTGGCTTGATTTTGTGGATTTACTAGAATGGGGTTGGAAAGAATTGCATAGTAATGCGATTTCTTTATTGGCAAGGTCTGTGTTTGTATCATTTTGACCTGTTGCTTTGAGAAGACTAATATTTTGGAAGAAAAAAAAAGAACAATAGTTGAGTGTAAAATTTAAGTCTAAATGTCTGAGATTTTTTGCACATCTGTGTAAATATACATCAAGTAAATCTCTTTTTAAATTGAAATCCTAGCAGCAGTCTTGCACTGCTAGGATGTTATCTTTTGAGGTCTATTGAGGTCATATTAAATGATTTAGAATTATGGTTTGGTTTCTACCGAGGTCTCAAGATTAAAATAAAAAGTTGATTAGCACATTCTCTAAATTCTGCAAAATACATATATAAAATGAATTTCTTAATGTGACATACCGTAAATAAATATGCAATCTTTCGCATAGATCTCACCCTAATACCACATCACTAGAGACGCACATAAAAATTTTAGAGGTAAAAGTTATTTTCCATGGTTGTATCTAGCTGTGACAGCCATGTAATTAGTATGAAATACTACATGAATATAACGTGCTACGTAAGTTTTTGATTATGTGGCATTGTTATTTGTTGTGAAATCCACATAGAAGGCTATCTCATACCACAACCTTTGATGGAAAACATATTTGTATATAAATTACTTTTATAATACATTATAGCTTTCAATTGCTGCACACACTTCTAAACTAAAAGTCACAATTATCAGGTGTTTAGTGTGTTTACTGTGATGCGTCTGTCAAACAGGTTTACTATGATGGGACGTATGAACAACCTCAGACGACAAAAGCAAATTTGATTTTGTATGATATTGGAATAGAATCTTTATAGAAACCTGGTTTACTATGATGGTTGAAACAATTAGGTTTTTTTAAAGAAAATGAAAAACGAAGAGATAAGGGTATTTTTGGATTCATGAAATAGAATAGAATAATATAAATTTAAGTTTTATTGTTTAGATTGATTAAGAAAAGGATGGAATGGAGTGGAAGTCTATTTCATTCCATCACTTTTTATCATTTTTTATATTTTTCAATTTGAGTGGAATGATAAAAATTTTATATTCCGTTAAAAAATACTTAAACAATGGAACGACATGTTTATTTTATTTCATTTCCGTTCATTTCCATTCTGCTCCGTTCATTTTAAAATATCTAAACATAGCCTAAGAGAAAAAAGTTATATTGTAAAATTTTTTTTATTGAAATTGTCACTCGTTGATTTATAAATTAATTGTATATACAAACAAAATATATAATTTACAAATTATAATATTCAATTCTTTCGAATACTTGCTTATACATTTTGAGGCACATATTATATTAGATTAACATCACTATATCCCACATACTATATTTGACTAATACAACTATATTGAATATTTCTTAAAAGATTGAATTACATCTTTTAACTGATATTGCATTTAAATTTTATATGTCCTTCACTGAAAAAACTGAGAAAAGATAAATCAAACAAAATAATAGAAAGGTTTACTAAAGCTAATTAACTTGGTAAGTTTTACTAATATCCAGAAATAACACAAAAAGAACATGATTTTCATCATATTTTTTTCATACCTCTCTCGTCATACCACTTTTGATAATAAACAGGACCTCCTTCATTTAATACGTTGGTTTTTTTTTGGGACTCTTTAAAAATAAATTACTACTTTTTTAAAGTTATTTATACTATCGTTATTTATTTTTTATTTGTGAATAAAGTACTAGATTGAGAATTTTTTTTAAAAATAATCATGTTTTTCAAACAAAATTTTCAAATAATCACTTAAAAAAAAACTTAACGGATAACTTTTTAAATACAAAAATTGCCCCAAAAAAGATGTGCTACAGTTTGTGACGCATGCATTCAATTTTTAGCCTAAGGCTCCAATGCCTGTTGCGCATGATCATATCTGTAGTTAATGGTCGTAGCGCATGTTTGCAACCTTTAGGAACATGTGCCATTGCATGTGCTGCACAACAACCAATGACGCACGCTCCTAAAAATTGTATGTATGTGCCACAGATAATAGCGCACCCTCTTGAGATTTAGCCGAGTATCTAGTTGTGTTGTGGTGATTGGTCATCTCCAGTTTATCTTCATGTTTGTTTTTTCAGCATATACATGCATACTTTCATTCATTCATACATACACCATGCATAACTGAATTAAGATTCATGCTCATCCTGCATTCCTCAGTGTTTCTTACCCATCCACTCTGGTGTTGTTTTCCCCAAAGAGTGTGTATCCTCCCTCCATTTAGAGTGTCTACCTTAAGCAAAAAGCGTGTATTCTTTCTAATTCCCCACCGAGTTTATTCCTCATGGAGAATTTTGCTTTAGTTTTCCTTTCCAACTCATTTATTTGGATGGAACCACCCCCCAGTTGAGTTATTTTCTCTTGAATAGAGTCTTGTTTGAACGTTTCTCTTTAGTTTGTTCCTGGATTGAATTTTTGTCTTCTGCAACAAATACTTTGAAGCTCTCTAGGCTGTGAAACCTAGATGATGAGAAGACATTTATTTTGCACCTTTGAGGATTTACTTTCCTCAGCAGGAATTTGTTTATGATTCCTCATCAAAAGTTGAAGATTTTATTTCCCCAACAGTGTTGTGATGACACTCTTTTGGAATCTTTGCTTGACAGCAAGATGCGATCTCTTTATGTGAGAAACTTGTATGTCTCCAGCATGGTAAGCCTTACTTGGTAACAAGTGGAAATCTCTTTGAGAAACTTGTTTTTCTATTTCAACCTTTGCAACGATAAATGGCAGTCTCTTTTGAGAAACTTATTCGTTCTTGATGGTTCTCCAACCTCACAATTACAAGTGGCAGTATCTTTGAGAAGCTTGTTTGCTATACTCAACCTTTGTGTGACTTCAAGTGACGGTTTCTTTATTTGAGAAGCTTGTATATTCCCAGATACCAATTTGTATCTTCACATTAAATGGCATCTCTCTAGTTTATCCTCACCAGAGAAGTTTATTGTGAAATACTTGATCCTCATCCAATCAAAGGAATGCCCTGGACTCGTTATTTGAACATGTGGCATCTCTTTAGTTGAGAAGCTTGTTGCGACTCCATCAACATTTCTATCAAATGGCATCTCTCAAGTATATTCCCGTCAGAGAAGTTTGTTGAGAAATCCTTATCATCACCAACAAATGATTGTCTCTTTATTTGAGAAGTTTATTGTATAATCTAACCTGCCCGTATCTCCTTTGAAGATCCCCAGTAGGGTTATTGATTTCTAATTCCTAGCAGGTGGAAGTCCCTTTAGCGAAGATAACTTGTATTTGACCATTTTTCAAGTTTGAGATTTGATTAAAGAAGAAGTTGAGCCCTATTATAATAGTGGAAGCTTGTCATCAGTTTGATCTGGTTCATTATTTGAACAAGTTCTTATCTCCATAATTGAGAATTCTGTTGCGATCCAGTGAATCTCTCGTCCCCAACAAACGAATGTCTCTTTATTTGAAAAGTCTATTGTGTGGTATGACATGTTCACATCTCTTTTGAGTATCTCCGACAGAGTTATTATTTATTTTCAGCAAGTGGCTATCCTTTGTGAAGCTTGTTTGTTACTCTTTTCAAGTTTGAAATTTGATTAAAGAAGAAGTTGAGTCCTATTATAATGGTGGAAGCTTATTATCAAGTTAATCTTTGTCTACCTAAGAGTTCCTTCTCTAGTAGAACAAATGACTTTTCCCTTAAGATTTCCCAGTGGAGCCCATATCCTTTTTCCTCTTTATCTCCAGCAATTTCAAGTCGTAGCTTCATCTACGCACTTTTCCCATCCCTTGTGGAATTTTATATTCCCCAGCTGGATCTCTTCTTGTTTTTCCCATGTGGAGTTTCTTTTTCCTTTACTAAGTTTCTGCAGCAGTAGTATGTCTCCTGTGGTACCTTTTTCCACGGAGTCGTTTGCATGCATTCACATCATAATCATTTTGCGGCATCTTAGGGCCAAAAATTGGGTCTTCTGTATTTAAGTCTCTTTTATCTCATCAAGACAAAGATGTCAATCTTCATATCTCCGAATAAAAGAAACTTAAATAGGGGCATCTGTCATACCTTAATTTTTACCTCTAAGATTCCACCTCATTTGTATCTTTATAATGCATCAAGATCACAAACTTGTTTGTCTCCTAACTCTCTCACCTTTGGGTTTTCTTATACAGAGATCATCAAGCACCTCTTTGTGCATCTTTCCTATCATACCCCAAATTTTACCCTTAGATTCTTTGATCTTTTGCATATCATTTAGGTCAATCATTTTGCATAACTAACCAAATCATCAGCTTTTGTATGCTTTGTTTCACTTGTGAATCATGATTTGCGTCAAGAGACTTCCAGGGTTGGTAAATTAGGGTTTTGGATTGGTCGTCCACCATTTAAGCTTTTAAGACATGGAATCAGAGGTTTTTTGTTGAGTTGGATTTCCATTGATTTAGAGGTTGCTTCTTTCGGTTATTGTACTCAAGTTTGAGGCGGAGGTATTAGATTTTCAATTGTCATGGGCACAACATCAATTTCTTTGAATTACCATAAGGGTATCGTTTGTTTAGGATTTCATCAGTGGCTTGACTGGAAAGATCCTGAATCAGGATTTTGGAAGATTAGGGTTTCTCACCCTTGGTGTTTATGATCGGCAAATGCCGTTCAAGTTGATTTTCCCCTGAGGCTAGCAGGTTCTGCAACACCCCAAAATAATTAGAATATTTATTTATTATAAATATTCGTGATTTCAGTGAATCTTGGTGAAATATTTGATGCCCGGTGATTTGTGTTGTAGGGTATTGATATTGTTAAGAGGGTATTGAGAATATTTAGAAGTATATGATTATTAGAATTATTTTGATAGTAATAATAGT